CTCCGGTTGTGCTGCCTCGTCAGTCACCGCTGAGACGCCAGACAGGTCGGGTCGGACGCGCGCAGCCACGTCGCGTCAACCACGTTGAAAACGTTGTAGTTTCGGAGTGAATTTTCACCTACTCGTCCATCATGCGTCCTGTCTATCTCAAGTACTCGCTCAAGCCCGCAAGGTATGCATCTCGGCAAGTTTGCGTTTGTAAAAGTATGTTGATTGGCTCGTCAAAAATATTGACCCCATGATTTTCCAACAGGGCTTTGAGTTACGGGGCTGTATTGTCCCTAACCATGGGCTAAATCCCCTTTGCCTTGCCGCCACCGATGCTACCTGCTTGCCGCTGTTCATGATGTTGGAGGCCAAGCCACGCTTGGGCCCCCCCACACCGTGGCCGTTTTGCCCACGGCCGCTCCGTCCCGACGCTGCACCCCCCTTCCCCTCCTCCTCGTCAAGTCAACGTGGAAGATCCGTGGAGTGACTAGTGTTGTGGAGAAGTTTAGTGCTGTGCACTATTTAATGAGACTCAGTTGAGCCATTTTTGTAATTAAATCTCGCCATGTCTTGTGGGCATGTTATTTTGTGAAGTGTGGTGAAATGTGAAGTGTGAGTGTTCCGCAGCCGGGGAGGCGCCCCTCGCGCTGCTCAAAGTGTGTGTCATGGTATTTCTACCTACCCGTGGTATTTCTATCTATCCATGGGAAATGTACCTACCTCTGAAAAAGGTACCCCCCCCCCGCACTTCAACTCTGTCTTCCCCCTGTTTTCACCACCGGTGAGTCTGTACTTTTCTTACCTTGGCCAAGGGTATACTGTATTTGTGTGTATAGTGTTGTTATTGTTTTTGTCAATTGTTTGACTTGGGACCAACCGCTGAAAGTAATTCCTTGCTACTGCTGCTAATTACTTCAATTCCTTCCTTTAACAATGCAAATGTGAGACTGTATTCTCAATAATTTATTAGTGTGTTAACACTACTGCATTTATAGAAGTAAAATAAAAATATTAAATTATTAAAATCCCACGGTTGGTCTCCCACTTGTTTTTGAATGTTGCTTTGTTGCAAATGTCGTATGTGTACTCTGTTTACTTTTGTATTTTTGTGATTTGATGGGTTTTTGGATGTGTTGTGATAACTTTGAAAATGAGTTGTGCTATAGTTTATCACTATTCAGAAATTGCATATAACTTCCATTATTATTAACTGATAATGTTGTCGACACTGTGTTTTTTCTATGCAATTAACAAATTATTATTAAATTCATCCACCCCTAAATTGTACTTGTGCCTGTCTCTTGAGTACCCCCAATTGAACCCCCCTCT